ATGTATGATATACATGAATTAAAAATTAAATCTAATAATTAATTTTTAAAAATATCTATTGAAAAACAATATTTTTTAAATTAAAATTTTAATTATTTTATGAGAATCTAAATTAATACACAATATTTTCTTTACATTTTTAGACGTTCTAAAGAAAAAGGAGGAATAAAAGGAGAAAATTTCACTGCGGTTTTTGATACCTAGGATTAGCATGCCATGTGAATCGTCTTTAAAGAGAGAGTTATAAATTGGGTTGTTTGGTTGGAGAGAAAGCTATAAAAAGGAGCATCCGTGCTTATGAATTTATTTATTTATTACAACGTTTCAATACCATTTTTTGCAGTGCATGGATTAAAGGAAAAGAGAAGATCACGCCCACATGGGTTTAATCAATGTCTTCACCACCTCCCCTTCACATTGTCCTTGTGACTTTAATTGTCTACTGTTTTCCTTTACTTTTCTCCTTTGCCATTATATATAATGGCTGTGCTTGTGGGAGTCTACAGCAATTTTTTTCAGTGTCCTTTTAATTTATATATTAAAAGTATTTTTTCATAAATATTATAAAAAATATAAAAAGTTAATATTAATTTTAATATTAATGTTAAGTAATTCAATTTAATTAAATAATTAATAAATTAAATATTAATTTTTATTTTTTAATATAAATTTAAAATAAAAAATATATTTATTACATTCTTAATTTATATTTTTTAAACAAAAATTTTAAAAAAACTTTTTTTTTTTAAAGAGAACGATGCAGTCAAACTCCACTACCATTATATATACTTATTTAGCAAAAAAAAAAAAAAAATTAACATTTTGTAATCATTAATGAATGGCATTAGCTTTGGCCTTTACCCATTTGAAGGTGCACCACCAAGGCCTTAACCTTGGTTCAAATCTCCACTCTCCACAAATTATAATTGTTTAAAAGATTATAATAATGATCATTAATAAAGGCGAGTCTTAGATAATCTCTTCTTCTATCACCAAATGTAAAATGTGTTTTTCAAATAAAGCAAACCTTAACACAGCTATTTCTTTTTTAAAATATATATTTTTTTAAAATGAATCTCTTCTCATAT